TAGAAACCCTAAACCTAGAGTTTTGCGTTTGCAGGAAACTCCGTCCCTCTTAGCGTTAAGTTCGATGGAAGATCTTGGGGTTTAGGGCTTAGGTTTTGCTTTGGGCATCGTCGAGGGTTTGGGGGTTTGGGGCTTGGGGTTTCGGATGGGCTTGGGGTGCACTTTTCCCTTCCCCCCCAGGGGGGTTAGGGTTTGGGTTTAGGCTCAGGGTTTAGTGTTTAGGGTTCAGGGTTTTGGGGGGGAGTTCAGGGGTTAGGAGTTTAGGAGTTCAGGAGTTTAGGAGTTCAGGAGTTTAGGAGTTTGGAGTGTAGGAGCTTAGGAGTTTAGGGTTAGGGGGGGGGGAGGCTAAGGGAGTGTGATCCAGATTCCATGTTTGACGACAACCCAGCTGTTCTGCCAGACCACGGCGTGGACCACCAGCGCAGCCAGGCACGGAAGTGGGAAGAGTTGGCCCAGTGCCAAGAGGTCGCGGAGGTGGATGACCTCTGCCATCTTCACCACGGCTGTCTTCGACATAGGGGGCTTGCCCACGGTCTTAGTTCTGACCGAGCCCATCAAAGCACGGAAGCTGCCGGATCACATCGTGGGCCCAGGAGAGGAAGCGGCGAACCCTTGAACTCTCCCTAAACCCTAAACCCTAAACCCTAAACCCTAAACCCTAAACCCTGAACCGAGTCCGGCCCTTAATTTGTGTCCCCCTGCTATATACCCCTTGTACACACTATACATACTAAGGGCCCATACTTCGGATCCCTAAACCCTAAGCCTGAGCCCGAATCCCTAATCCCTAGACCCTAAACCCTAAACCCTAAACCCTAAACCCTAAACCCTAAACCCTAAACCCTAAACCCTAAACCCTAAACCCTAAACCCTAAACCCTAAACCCTAACCCTAAACCCTAAACCTTGCACCATTAGCCCAAGACCCTATAACCCCAAACCCTAAACCGAGAATGCAGCTGAAGGCTCTTGTGTGGGGAATCCATGAACCAACCCAAGCCCTAAACCCTGAACCCTAAGTCCTACTTGGGTTTAGGGTTTAGGGTTTAGGGTGTAGGGTTTCGGGTTTAGGGTTTAGGGTTTAGGGTCTTAAAAAAGCAGAAGCAGCTCGCACAGGACGGGCTGGCTCCGCTTCTTCTCGGAGATGGACTGACATTGAGGGGCGTAGAAGATTGCTCTCGGTCTCTACAACACTTCAAGCCGTTCCCACCGTCTGTAGGGTTTAGGGTTTAGGGTTTAGGGTTTGGGGTTTAGGCTTTAGGCTTTTGGCTTTAGGCTTTAATTAGGCTTTAGGGCTTAGGCGGAACCTATACAAAGTCCTGAAGCTTCTGAACCCGATCCTCTAGACCAAGCCTACTCTGAAAGCCACCCTAGAAACTGATACCCTGAACTTAAAACCTCTGATGCATCCTAACCCGAAGGCCTAAACCCTGCACCCTAAACCCTAAACCCTAACCTTAAACACAATCCTAAACCCTGAACCCCAGACCCGAAACTCACTGCAAACTTCTGGAAACGCCCCCCCCCCCCCCACCTAACAGCACCCGAATGAACCTGAGCCCGGTTTAGGGTTCAGGGTTTAGGGTTTAGGGTTTACAGTTTAGGGTTTCGGGTATATTGGGTTTAGACCATGGGGTGGTTCCCTTTCTTTGCAGGTGCAAAGCGGGATGCGGTTGTTTTGGAAACCTCCATACAAGCCCGGGCTATGCTCCCTGAAGCCAGTTTAGGGTGGTAGGACGTAGGGTTTAGGGTTTGGGTTCAGGGTCAACTTTAAACCCTAAGCCGTTAATCCCCGAAAGCCTGAACCCTTCAAAGCGAAACTGTAGATGATTGGGAGGATGCGGACGACAGCGGCAGGGCAACGTTTCGTGAGATGGAGGCTCCAGATCCGAAGGGGGTTTCGGGTTGAGGTTTGGAATTTGGGGTCTTAAGGGTTTAAGCCCTAAACCCCTGTACCGTACATGTGTAGGGCGGAGGGTCTAGGGTTTCGGGTTTAAGGTCTGACGCAGGGCTCTGATTTTGGGTGGCACAAAACATCTTGGGCCAAAAACCCCCCCAGCCCGTAAACCCTAAACCCTGAAACCCGAAACCCTAAACCCTAAACCCTAAACCCGAAACCCGAAACCCGAAACCCTAAACCCTAACCCTAAACCCTAAATCCTAAACCCTAAACCCTAAACCCTAAACCCTAAACCCTAAACCCTCAACCCTCAACCCTCAACCCTCAACCCTCAACCCTAAACCCTAAACCCTAAACCCTAAACCCTAAACCCTAAACCCTAAACCCTAAACCCTAAACCCTAAACCCTAAACCCTAAACCCTAAACCAAACCACTCCAAGCCCCGAACCTTAAGCCCAAGCCCTATGAAACCCACACAGAGAGGCTGCCTTTCAGAAGCACCTCCGCCAGGGGGACCCAGTGGATGCATGGTGGAGGGCTTCTGGCTTTGAGCGGGAATTTGAGGCGTAAGAGCTTTAATTAAAAGTTAGAACGTGCTTGATGAGGCTTCATGGCTTTAAATAGGGGCTTAGGCGACGAGATCCAAGAAGGGTCGTAAAGAAGGCCCTCAAATTGTCAAGTTCTTATAATCAGCAATTCAGGCTGTAGGGTTTGTGAGAGTGTAGAAGTCTATTAAGGATGACGGGTTTAAAGGCATTGAGGGGTATTACAGCCTTGGAGGCTAGTGCTTGTGTGATATGAGGGTTCATCGCGCCTGTCTGCATTTAGGGAGGCCTTATCGCCCGAACCCGAAAGCCTAAACCCTAAGCCCTCATAAGTCGTGCAGGGTGTGCTCTGACTCTAGTGCTTTCAGGTGTGAGGCTTTGGGGGTTAGAACAGTATAGGGCTTAGGGTTAAGGGTTGCTAAGGTTCAGGTGGTTCGGGATATCTCGGGCGTCAGTGTAGGGCCGAGGGCTTTGGGAGTTTTTTTTTTCCTTTCGTCTTGGTGGTTCTAAGGTTTAGGCGGCTTTCGGTCGGTCTTAGTTGCATCCTAAACCCTAAGCCCTAAACTTTTTTGGGTTTGGGGCATCCCTTATGCCACCAAAAAAGCGTTCAAGAACAAGTTCACGGAACCCTAAACCCTAAACCCTAAACCCTAAACCCTAAACCCTAAACTTTGATCCTGTGCCCGACCTCGGTTCGGAGCTTCTGGAAAGCTCCCAAGCTTCCCGATTTGGGGCTCATGTAGTTCGGATTTTTCCATGCACACGGTTTAGGGTTTAGGGTTTAGGGTTTAGGGTTTAGGGTTTAGGGTTTAGGGTTTAGGGTTAGGGTTAGGGTTTAGGGTTTCAATCCCTCTAAGCCCTCTGAGCCTTAAGACCGCGTCGACGCAAGATCCAGAGGCCCCCCCCCCTAACAAGAAAATGAACATGACAAGAAGAGACATATTCAAGTTGCATTGTGGTTCCCAGGTCTTCCGAAACCCCTTAATTAAGGAATATACCCTAATTCATACTAAGCATCCTGATTATGAGTTAGGGTGTATTCCTTAATTAAGGGGTTTTGGAAGATCTGGGTTCTTAAGGGAAGTATACCCAAAAGCCCTGGCTGCTGAAGCCGTTTCGCGTCCAGCGGGTCGATGTGCGCATGTGAGGGTTTGATGATTTGGGGTTGTGGTTTTTGAACCCTGAACCCTGTTTAGGGTTTAGGGTTTAGGGTTTAGGGTTTAGGGTTTAGGGTTTAGGGTTTAGGGTTTAGGATTGGGATGCTCCCCAGAATAGGGATGAAAGTAAGGGTTTAGGGTTTAGGGTTTAGGAGACTCACAACTTCGCACAAGACTTGGAGCTGTTGGGGCCCAAGCACATAAGCCCCCGGAAACCCGGAAGAGCCGAGTCTCCCAAACAGCATGTTTGGGGGGGGTTTAGGGTTTAGGGTTTAGGGTTTAGGGTTTAGGGTTTAGGGTTTAGGGTTTAGGGTTTAGGGTTTAGGGTTTAGGGTTTAGGGTTTAGGGTTTAGGCCCAAAACCCGGTTGAGGGTTTGTAGGGTTTATGGGGTTTGAGGGTTTATAGGTTTATAAGGTTTATAGGGTTTATAGGGTTTATAGGGTTTATAGGGTTTATAGGGTTTATAGAGTTTACCGGGTTTATAGGGTTTATAGGGTTTAAAGGGTTTAGAATTTGGGAGGCTTTCCCCCCCCCCCCCCCCAACAATAACAGATGCTGCTCGACGCTGCTCTGCTCAGTGGCCAGTCTAGACCCTGAACCCTAAACCCTAAACCCTAAACCCTAAACCCCCCCCCCAAAATGCTGCTGAATGTTGCGCTGCTCAGTGGCCAGTCGGCCTCCATTGAAGCGCAGCCTGAGTGGACGCTCGCGCAGCTGAAGCAGAAGTCGCAACGAGTCGGTCAAAGCTCCTAGGGTTTAGGGCTTAGGGTTTAGGGCTTCGGGTTTAGGGTTTAGGGTTTAGGGCTTAGGGTTTAGGGCTTAGGGCTTAGGGCATAGGGTTTTGGGTTTTGGTAACATAGATCCTAAACCCTGAGACCTCAGGAGTCCGATCCCCTCAGTTCTCCACAGCATGCATGCCCTAAGTCTCACAAAGCCCCGGAAACCCTAAACCTCAAAGAGTTTCCCAAAGACCCTGCGACCTTTGGGCCTCCATATCTAAGTCCCAAGAGTCTTTAAAAGACACGGGCTAGGCCGAAAACCCAGAACATCATAAAGAATGCCCCGCAGCCACCAAAGAGACAAGTCCCGACCTGCTGGAAGCTGCCTAAACGTCCGAAGCCGGCAAAGCTTGCCGCCCCGAAGCCCAAGACCAAAAACTCCATTTGCCCGACAGCCCCGGAACCCTAAACTCCTATACCCCCCAATCCCCAAAAACCCCTAAAACCAAAAACCCCTACACCCTAAAACCCTTAAACAACCCTAAACTCCTATCCCCTCAACCTTACTTAAACTAAGCCCCTAAATAAACCCCCCTAACCCTTAAACCCTAAACCCTAGACCCTAGACCCTAAACCCTAGCCCTAAACCCTAAACCCCTTTTAAGAAACCCCCAAAAGGCAGGAGGCCCTGGGCGTGGGCCTCAGCTGCCTGGCCAGTGCAGAGGGGCGGCTGCTGGCGCGGACGGGCTTCTTGGGCCGACGTTTGGGGCAAATAGGGGTTGAGGGTTTAGGGGTTTGGGGTTTAGGGTTTAGGGTTTGGGGTTTAGGGTTTAGGGTTTAGGGTTTGGGGTTTAGGGGTTTAGGGTTTAGGGTTTGGGATTTAGTTTGGATTGTGGATGGGTGTGCTTTATTGTTTTTGGGCCCATGTACGTATGCTTCTGCAATAGAGAGAAGCCAGAGCCTGAAGAGCAATTCAAGCTTCTGAAACCCTAAACCCTAAACCCTAAACCCTAAACCCTAAACCCTAAACCCTAAACCCTAAACCTGGTTGCTTGGCCACTACACCCTAAGGCCCCTAAACCCTAAGCGGGGTAGTCTTGAACATATGTTTGTTAGCTTTCCCTACCCTTAGTCCCTAAATAACCCTTAAAAAGCTATAGATTGTTCTCTATAGGGCCCCTCAACCCTGAACCCTGAACGCTAAACCCTTTCAACCCTGTGAGCCCCAAAAAGGAAAAGTGGCAGATGCTGGGCTCCGGCATGGGGACACTCTCACCGCCACAGTTCGGTCGCCCCGCCGCGCAGCCGAAGAGTCAGTTGGAAAGGCAGTGTTTCAAAACATGGGGCTTGGGGTTTGGGGTTTAGCGTTTAGGGTTTAGGGTTTAGGGTTTAGGGTTTAGGGTTTAGGGTTTAGGGTTTCGGGTTTAGGGTATGCTTCGCAGCATGTCTTGTTTTTAAGCACTTCATGGCATCTATGTGGTGCATCTAGGGGACTTGTATCCAAAGAAGATGGACTAGTTTTTGGGCATCATGATCTTGCGGTGATGGTCGTGGGCAATAGATAGGCCCAGGGCGTCCTTTGGGGTCATCCCGAAATGGTTCCTTTGCATTGAAATTCGGATCATGCATAGCTTTGTGACCTAAGTCGTGAGGGCTCGGGAGGGTTCTGGGGCCTTCAAGTTTCACTCGCTCCTGTTACATAGGGGTTCTAAAGGGTCCGTTTACAGGGATCCCCGAAGAGCGGAGTCGCTTTTCCTTACTCAAACGGGGACCCTTATGTCGATTTTGTGGACGGGCCATAGCATATGTTAAGGATCAACTGGGATGTACAGGATACCCCTCAATGTAGAGCTATTGTGCATTTGGGTTCGTCCTTAAACCATAAAACCCGGAACCCTTAACCCTGAACCCTGAACCCTAAAACCTGAACCCTAAACCCTAAACCCCAAACCCTAAACCCTAAACCCTAAACCCTAAACCCTAAACCCTAAACCCAAGGCAGCCGTTGAAGTCCCAGTTCCGAAGTTGACTCGGCCCGATGACCAGGCCTCTTCTCGCGGCGACACGCCTACGGCTTCGTTCTGCCGCTGGGCTTGGAGGGGGTTTTAGGACGTTTAGGGTTTAGGGTTTAGGGTTCAGGGTTTAGGGTCTTTTCTCGGGACTTGCAGTAGGGTTTTCTAGGACGTTTTGGAGTTTGGGGGAGGTACTGTTCTCTGGGACTGTGGCCCGTTTGCTTCCAATAGCCCTTTGACCCTAACCCCAAAAGCCCAAAACAAAACAAACTCCAGAAGCCCCCAAAAACCCCCAAACCCCCTCAAATCCTTCAAGGTCCTCAAAACCCCAGAATCCCTAACCCTAAACCCTCAACCCCAAACCCTAAACCCTAGAATCCCTCACCAAAACACCTCGAATGCCAAAGGATACGCGGAGATGGCTCTGTGGTCAGCTGGACCAAGGAGAAGGGCCTGGACACGCGGCAAAGTGACGAGGCAGACCTGGAGGCCCAGGGTGTATTGTGGGGTTTAGGGTTTAGGGTTTAGGGTTTAGGGTTTAGGGTTTAGGGTGCAGGGGGAGCTTAGGTGCCACTTTTAAGATGGCAGCCTCCTAAGCCTTGAGCGAGGCCATGGAAGTTCAGACCACGGCTGGCGCGGTGGCGGTGCTTTGCGCGGATGGCCGCGTCGTCAGCTGGGGCGACACCTGCCGGTGTTCGGGGCCCAAACTTAAACGTAAGGATCCTACTATTGGGGTATGAGCGCCCCTAGGAGCCCCTAGAAGGGGGATTCCGCAAAAACTCATGTTGTGGGATCCTTATGTTTATGTGGTTTTTTGGGCCCCTAATTATAGGTCTTTTTGTTAGCTTTATGCGCTCTTGTTGCCGTAAAGAGCCGAAATTAAAGTTACTTGGGTTGGGAGCACAAAAACCCTGCATATACCCCTTTTTCGCTATTGGCCCCAGAAATTTTTGTAAGCCCTGTAAAGTGTAAAGCATATACACCCATGATTGCCCATCCTAAAGGAAACCTACTCGGGCGGCGACAGCAGCGCCGTGCGCAAGCAGCTCCACGACGTCCGCTCCCTGGCTGGGAGGGTAGGGCTGAGGGTTTAGGGTTGGATGAGGGTTGAGGGTTTAGGTTTTGGGGTGTAGGGTTAGGGTTTAGGGTTTGGGGTTCAACGGTTAAGGGTTTATCATAGCCACGCTTCCCATGGAATTCTGGTACCCTGGAGCCCTGTTTGCATGGCTTTTGTTCGGTACCTCATTCCATAGCGGTATGGTATTGCAAGCGGATCCTCTGAAGAACCCTAAACCCTAAACCCTAAACCCTAAACCCTAAACCCTAAACCCTAAACCCTCTCCGTTCAACCCTGGCCTCCCTCCGACCGCCCTCATCCAAAGCGCATTGAGGGTTACTGAGGCTCGATTTTATAAGGGGCGCATCCTGGTTTGAAGGTTTCTGGTTGATAGGGTGTACGGTTCAGGGTTTAGGGTTTAGGGTTTTGGATTTAGGGTTTAGGGTTTCGGGTTTAGGGTTTAGGGTCAGGGTTTATCGGGTTTACAGGGTTTATAGGGTTTACAGGGTTTATGCGGTTTTAGGGTTTATAAATAGGACTTGGAAACGATATCGGAATTCCGACGATGAGACCTCTGTGTCAGGCCCTACTATCCAAATGTGCTTCACGATTGAGATGCTGAATAATGTTTCTATTGTAATGATAATATTTGACCATATTCTTTATTTAAAATGAATTAAAACATTTATCACCGATGTCGCAACGGTCCAACACACCCCACAACGATTAGTTAGAATCTGTTCGGGGGATTGAGATACTTACCTCAGTCAAGATCTGTTGTTAGTGGTAGATCTCTCACTTGAATGTTAAACTCACGAGGTGGGTAGATGTTCAATTTTTGATTTTTTGTCATTTTATGAGGGTTCAACCCTCAACCCTCAACCCTAAACCCTAAACCCTACTCCAGGCTCCATCCAGGCGTCCGCGGGCGCCTTCGCCGCCCTGCGCTCCGATGGCCGCGTGGTGACCTGGGGCATCCGGGAGGCCACGTGGTGCCCCTTCTCTTTAGGGTTTAGGGTTTGGGGTTCAGGGTTAAGGGTTTATGAGGTTTAGGGTTTAGGGTAACCCCCCAAAACAACGATTTGGGGTTTAGGCTTCAGATATGCCTGCGGTTCTACAAGCCCGAAACACGCAATCTTAGGCGCCAAGGGCTACAGATGCGGGCTTAGGCGCCTTAGCTCCTTAATCTGCAGTTTCGAGCAAGTTGAAACCTCACTTGCTGAATCTTAGCTTCGGGTTCGGGATGTGGCAGGGTTTAGGGCTTATCGGTCTTATAAAGTTCAGGATGTAGGGTTTAGGGTTCGGGTTAGGGGTTTAGGGTTTTCGGGTGCAGGGCGTCAGGGCTAAGGCCGAAGCCCGGACTGAAACAGCCAGGCTGGCGGCGACAGTGAAGACGTCCAGGAGGGGTGCCCCCAAACCCTAAACCCTAAACCCTAGACCCTAGACCCTAGACCCTAGACCCTAGACATTAAACCCTAAAAACCCTAACAACCCTAGAAACCCTAAACCCTAAACCCTGTTTCGGGTCCTGTGACAGGAGGCCTGGGTTCGGTGGGTCGCTTGGGGTCACTTACTTGAGTGAACCGCAAAGAACCCCCAAACCCTGAACCCTTGAACTTGGGATGTTCCTTTGATACTAACAGGTCCATTTAATAGGAATCATGGTACTATAATCCTTATAAGAAGGACTGTCAGTATTGGGGGGGAACCTCCCAACCTTGAGCCCCAAAACTCTACCCTTAAGGCACGATCCTTACGTTGGTCAAAAGGGCTTGGTTTGAACCCGAATCCGGAAGTAGGGCGGGCGTGAGAACTTTGGGGTTTTATGGGGTGTTGAGGCCCGTTTAGGACTTTAGGGCTATAGGGTTTTGGGTGGTTTAGGGTTGTTTAGGGTTTAGCGTAAAGGGGGTATACGGTAGACCTGCATGACCTTTGCACACCCCGCCACCCGCGCAGCGCCTCATCCACTGAAGCAACCCTTGAACCCCTAAGCTTGTTGATATGAATCCTATTCCTCGCAAAGGCAGGCGTTTGCATAAGGAGAGCCTGTAGAATCGTCATCGTTAGCACTACAGAAAGGTCTGTGAATACTACGCTGCCTCTTTCATGATTTCAATGGGGATTCGCTGCTATCATTGCCATCGTCGTTGTTATTGCGAGTGCCAGTGCCACTGCGATTGTGATTGTTATTGCTATTGCTATTCCTACGATCGTTCTTGCTAGAAGTGGTGTTGCTAGTAGGAGCAGCAGCATTAGTACAACTATAAGAAAGCAAAGACCCTCTCTACATCCCTAAACCCCTGAAACACTAAACCCCCCAGAGCCCAAATCTACAAGCCCTATGAACCACCAAAACACTAAAGCGCTAGAAAGCCCTATAAGCCGCCTTTAACCTCTCAGCCCCAAAGCCCTAAACCCCCTCAAACCCTGAACCCTATCAACCCTAAACCCTATAAACCCCTTTAAGCCCAATAAACCCTGCAAACCCTGTAAACCCTATAAACCCTATATAAACCCTGCAAACCCGATAAACCCTATAAACCCTGTAAACCTTCTAAACCCTACTATGCACCCTACAAAGCCTACAACCTGCAAGGAGCACCCTAAACCCTAAACCTTAAACCCTAACCCTAAACCCTAAACAATATACAACCTCTGAACCACTTGAAACCCTCTAACCCCTAAACGAACCCTGCAAAGCCCTACAACCTGCGAGGAGCAGCTGCAACACGTTGCGCAGCTCCAAGCCTCCGCGCGCGCGTTCGCGGCGGTCACGGAAGGCTCCCCTTTCCAGGGTTTAGGGTTTAGGGTTTATGGTTTAGGGTCCAGGGTTTAGGGTTTAGGGTTTAGGCTTAGGGTTTAGGGTTTAGGGTTTAGGGTTTAGAGTTTAGGTTTTAGGGTTTAGGGTTTAGGGTTCTTCAAGGGGTTCAGGGTTTAAATTAAGGGTTTCAAGGTTTAGGGTTGAGGGTTTAAGGGTTTTGGGGGGTTCGAGGGTTTGGGGTTTTGAGGGTTTGAGGGTTTGAGATTTCAGCGGGTTTGGGGTTTGAGGGTTCAAGGGTTTAAGGGTTTAGGGATTTCTTGCTTAGGGATTTTAGTGGTCAGAGATTTCGGGTTTGTTTGGGGGTAGGGGGGACTATAGGGTTTGGGGTATGTATGGCTTGTTTCTGGAACTAGGTTCGGGGGCTGAGGGCTCAGGCTTGTATGTGGGGGTTAGAGCTTAGGGTTGGGTGCCCTAAACCCTCAACCCTAGATACTAGACCCTAAACTCCTAAACCCCAAGCCCTCCCTCAAGACGCCTCCGAGGTGGGTCGGTGGTCACTTGGGGCCATCCCACGGCCGGCGGCGACAGCAGTGACGCTGCTGGCCTCAACTTCTTCCACAGGTTTCAGGGCTTAAGGCTTAAGGGTTACATTACATAGGGTTTAGGGTTTAGGGTTTAGGGTTTAGGGTTTAGGGTTTCAGGGCTTAAGGCTTAAGCTGGGATGTTCCCCCTTAATTGGGATTGTAGTCGGGGGTCCCAAGGTTTAAGGGTCGCTTAGGGTTTAGGGTGTTAGGGTTGTATGGCAGGTTCAGGGCCTAAGGGCTATTTAGGGGTGTACAAGGCCCACGCGTCAGGGGTTAGGGCTGTTGGGTTTTGCTGTAGGCTTTGGATCTTATTAGAAAGTCGCTTCCATTCTTTTTGGGTTTAAGGGCTTATTAGGTGTAGCACCTCATGGTTTTTCGAACTCATGTTTCAACCCATCCTTCTTGAAGTTCAGGCAGGTTCTTGGGATGTGCGTTTGGGCTACCAAGCAGGAAGCGGCGATGGCTGTGTTTAAGGTTTGGGGTTGGGGGCAAAACGGGCCCACTATGTGCATGCAAGTCAGCCCTCCATGGAATTTCGGTGTACCAAGTTTGAAGTCCTGAGTTGAATCTCCGAAGCCCTTGTTCTAAAGCCTACTACACGTTCAAGACCATGGCCACCACTGCCTTCCTGCGTTTTTTGTCTTGAGGCGCTTTAAGCAAAGTCTTTGCATGACCAAAGTGCTCACCTGCACAGTGCCTGTTTTTGTGCTTTTGACACATCTCAACTCTGAACTCCAAACCTCGAACCCTGAGCCCTCAACCAACTACCGAATCTTCAACCTGAACCCCAAGGCGGTGTTGAAGTTGTCATATTTTTGGGCTTCACCCTGTTTGTAGCTCATGTGTAGGGCCAGGGATAGAGGATGTGGGACCCATTTGAAGACGAACGCTAAGCCCTACACCCGAAACCCGAAACCCGAAACCCTAAACCCTAAACCCTAAACCCTAAACCCTAAACCCTAAACCCTAAACCCTAAACCCTAAACCCTAACCCTAAACCCTAAACCCTAAACCCTAAACCCTAAACCCTAAACCCTCAACCCTCAACCCTCAACCTGACCAACCGAGGTTCAGTCGCAGCTGCATGACGTCGAGGGCATCTTCGCCTCCGGGTGCCCCCTACTGCTGGGGATGTGGGGGAGCTTGCTTCGGCTGAGTACGCGCCGGCCCCCCCCCCAAAAAAAAAGAAAACAAAACAGAAAAAACAAATATGTATATATATATATATATTATAAGAGTATTAATAACAATAATAATAATATAAAACGAAAAAGCAACGAAATAGTGACAAAGCAAAGAAGACACGTAATATGTGTGTATAATTATTATTTATACACATACATATATATATATATATAAATAGAGCCCTATTGTTCCCTATGAGATATTCATACAAGCAGAGGTACTCTTTCCTGGCCCTGCGCCGCGATGGCTCCGCCATAACCTGGGGAAGTTCCGAGCATGGCGCGCCCGCCGTGGGAGTTTTGGGGGTTTTTGGGGTTTAGGGTTTAGGGTTTACGGTTTAGGGTTTAGGGTTGATTTTGGGGTTTAGGGTGTAGGGTTTAGGGCTTAGGGTCCAGGGTTGAGTGTTATCTAGTTCCAGGATGCAGGCCTATAATGAGCCAAGAAATGCCTGCGTACAGCCTTTAAGCAGGGTATAAACAACCCATCTTGGTCATACCTTTTTCTAACTGTAGGACCGGTAGGACCTGTAGGACACTTTGCCATCACACCTACGGTTTGTGGGGTTTCTCTATACGATACATCTCGATAAATCAATGTGGCGGTTTGGTACCCTTTTCGGGGGGGTCCCTTTAAAGGGAATTCTATTCTATTTTGGGTGTAAAAGGGTTACCTCTATTTTGGAAATACCCAGGTGCGTGTCAAGCTAAATAAAGGATAGACCCTGAACCCTACCTGGACTGGAGAGCATGCAGCCGACTTGTTAGGTTCGAGGTCATATCCTCCCCAAAAATGGTTTAGGGTTTAGGGATGGGGCCCAGATAGACTCTAGAAACTGAAGAAGTGGGTCTAGTTAAACAGAGACAAAAAAACATGCAACCTTAAACACACAATGTTGCTGCGCAACTTGCGCGAGCCCCTAAAGAAACCAAACAGGTCCTTACCAAGCCAAAAGCCCCAAACCTTTAGGGTCTCGGTTTTAGGGCTTTTAGGGTCTATATATATATGAAAGAGCAACCTTTCGGGTCTATTTAACCTCTCTTCTTTTCTATTTAACTGATAATTATTTAAATAATTTAAATTATTTAAAAAATTTAAATAAAAACTACAACCCATTTAATTATTTAAATAAGTCGGGTGATTTAAATAATTTGAATGATTTAATTGAGACCAATTAAATTATTTAAATTATTTAAATAGTTGAAAGAGGCCCGGGGATTTAAATAATTTAAATAATTGAATTCAGGCGAATTAAATTATTTAAATTGTTTAAATTGATTAAGGAGGCCGGGGGATTTAAATAATTTAAATAATTTAATTCCGCGCAATTAAATTATTTAAATTATTTAAATTATTTAAATTGTTTAAAGAGGCCGGAGGATTTAAATAATTTAAATAGTTTAATTCGGCCCAATTAAATTATTTAAATTATTTAAATTATTTAAATTATTAAAATTATTTTAATGCTCCCAAATCCAGGCTGCGGGCCGGAGTCGCCTGAGGCCGAATTTCCGACCATTTAAATTATTTAAATAATTTAAATAATTTAAATAATTCAAATAATTTAAATAATTTAATTCCGGCCAATTAAATTATTTAAATTATTTCAATTATTTAAGGAGGCAGGGGGATTTAAATAATTTAAATTTAATTCAGGCCAATTAAATTATTTAAATTATTTAAATTATTTAAATTATTTAAATAGGCCGGGGGATTTACATAATTTAAATAATTTAATTCGGCCCAATTAAATTATTTAAATTATTTAAATTATTTAAATTATTTAAATGCTCCCAAATCCAGGCTCCGGGCCGGAGTCGCCTGAGGCCGAATTTCCGACCATTTAAATTATTTAAATAATTTAAATAATTTAAATAATTTAAATAATTTAAATAATTTAATTCAGGCCAATTAAATTATTTAAATTATTTAAATTATTTAAATTATTTAAATAGGCCGGGGGATTTAAATAATTTAAATAATTTAATTCGGCCCAATTAAATTATTTAAATTATTTAAATTATTTAAATTATTTAAATTATTTAAATGCTCCCAAATCCAGGCTCCGGGCCGGAGTCGCCTGAGGCCGAATTTCCGACCATTTAAATTATTTAAATTTAAATAATTTAAATAATTTAAATAATTTAATTCAGGCCAATTAAATTATTTAAATTATTTAATTTATTTAAATTATTTAAAGAGGCCGGGGGATTTAAATAATTTAAATAATTTAATTCGGCCCAATTAAATTATTTAAATTATTTAAATTATTTAAATTATTTAAATTATTTAAATTATTTAAATGCTCCCAAATCCAGGCTCCGGGCCGGAGTCGCCTGAGGCCGAATTTCCGACCATTTAAATTATTTAAATAATTTAAATAATTTAAAATTTAATTTAATTCAGGCCAATTAAATTATTTAAATTATTTAAATTATTTAAATTATTTAAATAGGCCGGGGGATTTAAATAATTTAAATAATTTAATTCGGCCCAATTAAATTATTTAAATTATTTAAATTATTTAAATTATTTAAATTATTTAAATGCTCCCAAATCCAGGCTCCGGGCCGGAGTCGCCTGAGGCCGAATTTCCGACCATTTAAATTATTTAAATAATTTAAATAATTTAAATAATTTAAATAATTTAATTCAGGCCAATTAAATTATTTAAATTATTTAATTTATTTAAATTTTTAAAGAGGCCGGGGGATTTAAATAATTTAAATAATTTAATTCGGCCCAATTAAATTATTTAAATTATTTAAATTATTTAAATTATTTAAATTATTTAAATGCTCCCAAATCCAGGCTCCGGGCCGGAGTCGCCTGAGGCCGAATTTCCGACCATTTAAATTATTTAAATAATTTAAATAATTTAAATAATTTAATTCAGGCCAATTAAATTATTTAAATTATTTAAATTATTTAAATTATTTAAATAGGCCGGGGGATTTACATAATTTAAATAATTTAATTCGGCCCAATTAAATTATTTAAATTATTTAAATTATTTAAATTATTTAAATTATTTAAATTATTTAAATTATTTAAATGCTCCCAAATCCAGGCTCCGGGCCGGAGTCGCCTGAGGCCGAATTCCCGACCATTTAAATTATTTAAATAATTTAAATAATTTAAATAATTTAAATAATTTAATTCAGGCCAATTAAATTATTTCAATTATTTAAATTATTTAAATAGGCCGGGGGATTTAAATAATTTAAATAATTTAATTCGGCCCAATTAAATTATTTAAATTATTTAAATTATTTAAATTATTTAAATGCTCCCAAATCCAGGCTCCGGGCCGGAGTCGCCTGAGGCCGAATTTCCGACCATTTAAATTATTTAAATAATTTAAATAATTTAAATAATTTAAATAATTTAATTCAGGCCAATCAAATTATTTAAATTATTAAATTATTTTGAAATTATTTAAATAGGCCGGGGGATTTAAATAATTTAAATAATTTAATTCGGCCCAATTAAATTATTTAAATTATTTAAATTATTTAAATTATTTAAATGCTCCCAAATCCAGGCTCCGGGCCGGAGTCGCCTGAGGCCGAATTTCCGACCATTTAAATAATTTAAATAATTTAAATAATTTAATTCAGGCCAATTAAATTATTTAAATTATTTAAATTATTTAAATTATTTAAATTATTTAAATAGGCCGGGGGATTTACATAATTTAAATAGTTTAATTCGGCCCAATTAAATTATTTAAAATATTTAAATTATTTAAATTATTTAAATTATTTAAATGCTCCCAAATCCAGGCATCGGGCCGGAGTCGCCTGAGGCCGAATTTCCGACCATTTAAATTATTTAAATAATTCGGGCCGGAGTCGCCTGAAATTTCCGACCATTTAAATTATTTAAATAATTTAAATAATTTAAATAATTTAAATAATTTAATTCAGGCCAATTAAATTATTTAAATTATTTAAAGAGGCCGGGGGATTTAAATAATTTAAATAATTTAACTCGGCCCAATTAAATTATTTAAATTAAAATTATTTAAATTATTTAAATTATTTAAATTATTTAAAGAGGCCGGGGGATTTAAATAATTTAAATAATTTAATTCGGCCCAATTAAATTATTTAAATTATTTAAATTATTTAAATTATTTAAATTATTTGAATTATTTAAATTATTTAAATGCTTCCAAATCCAAGCTCTGAGCCCGCAGACTCGCGGCTCGATTTGGCCAAATTTTGCCCGCAGACTGCCCGGCAAAATTTGGCCAAATCGAGCGGCGCCTTTCTGAAGGCCCGAAACTATATAAACTCTCGCGGCTCGATTTGGCCAAATTTTGCCCGGCAGCCTCCGGGCAAAATTTGGCCAAATCGAGCCGCGCCTTTCTGAAGGCCCGAAACTATATAAACTCTCGCGGCTCGATTTGGCCAAATTTTTCCCGGCAGCCTCCGGGCAAAATTTAGCCAAGTCGGGCTGCTCTTTGTACGCGATAAGGAATGCGCGGCTCGATTTGGCCAAATTTTGCCCGGAGGCAATTTTATTGCGCGTATTTAAATTATTTAAATTGTTTAAATGCTCCCAAGTCCAGGCTCTGGGCCGGAGTCGCCTGAGGCCGAATTTCCGACCATGTAACTTGTTTAAATTATTTAAATTATTTAAAGAGGCCGGGGGATTTAAATAATTTAATTCAATTCTGTACAATTAGTTCAATTAATTTATTCTTTTTGTCACCTTTAATCATCTTCTAATCGGGTCATCGTTTGGATCTTATTTGGAAAGCATCCTTTGTCATAATCATATTCTATCGTTATCACCTTTTTGTTACCTTTTTGTTGTAATCTTTTATCATTTTTGTCATATTTTCATCATCTTTTATCATCTTTTAATCGGGTCATCGTTTGGATCTTATTTGGAAAGCATCCTTTATCCTAATCATATTCTATCGTTATCACATTTTTGTTATCTTTTTGTTGTAATCTTTTATCATTTTGTCATATTTTTATCATCTTTTATCATCTTTTAATCGGGTCCTCGTTTGGATCTTGTTTGGAAAGCATCCTTTATCCTAATCATATTCTATCGTTATCACCTTTTGTTATCTTTTTGTTATAATCTTTTATCATCTTTTTTGTCATCTTTTTATCATCTTTTATCATCTTTTAATCGGGTCATCGTTTGGACTTTGTTTTTGAAAGCATTTTATCTTAATCATCTTCTACCGTTATCATCTTTTATCATCTTTTATCATTTTATCATCTTTGTCATCTTTTATCATCTTTTATCATCTTTCTGTCATCTTTTTGTAGTCGTTTATCATCTTTTTGTCATCTTTATTATATGTTTCCGTCTTATATCATTATGATTATGGGGTGAGCAAGGAGTCAAATCGCAAGCCCTGGTCCCTAAGATTTTCGGTTCAGCTTTTATGCCAAAGAGTTAAATCGCAAACCCAAACCAATTAAATCATTTAAATCCTACGGTCTAATTAAATTATTTAATTGAGGCGTCGGATTTAAATAATTTGATTGGCTCTGTG